ATTTTAGATGCTGGTAAGACAATTGATAAGACCATAAAATGGAAAGTCGTATACAGAACGGAGAACAAGAGAAATGGAAGGCGCCGTGCACCTGCTGCAATTCAACCCTACTATATAGATCACTATATGGAACCCAGATAAATGAAAATTGTTTCACACTATGTGATAATTTTAAAAAGGGGACAAAAGGGGTTGTTTATTAGCAACAGCTTTAAAAGTCCATTGAACAACTTCACACGCACGCACACTGCGTTTACCGATACCCAGTGTACTGTCGCTACACATCTCCGGAGGCTCGCAGAAAAAAGGATTACGGAGAGATAGAGTAGTGGCTTACTTTGAATAACTCATTCCATAGACGCTTCGATTGTCCCGCTTTGAAATGCGGTTGTTGTGTCATATCGCGAACTCCATCATCGTCCCGAACCATGTGACGGTCTCGGCTGGCATCGTACTGCTGTTGTATAGTCTCCACCTGTTGAACTAGAGCCTACAAAAACAGAATGATACATGTGACTTAACAAGGACATCAGGCTTACAAAAACCAGGATAAGTGGCTCGATTTTCGCAACTCAAAAATATATTACTAGTATACATGGCACTATCTAATTACCGTTTCGCTGAAAAATTCTCAATAGCTGCTTCAAGTTTCGAAATAAACTTGGGGCAAAACGCGCCGAATAAGTAATACTGATGTTTGATGCTCAATTCACTTGCTGTGGGATTCAATAATCAAATACTGAAACCACTAATCAAACTTCTTTTATTAAACAATGTGGATAACGGTTAAAAAGGAAATCCCTATGGTCATCAGGCATACTATAAGAGGGAGAGCAGGGTGGAAATTCATATAAGATCGAGTTCGCGATTAAAAAGTGCAAGATTGTAAGAAGATGGCGAGGTAGAGTGAGCAAGTTAAATTGGCTGATCACTCACTAACTTCTGCAAAAGTTCTTGAAATACAGTCAGCTTCAACGATATTTCACAAGACTTCTCCGTTGACGAAGTTAAAATTTCGTAAATGCTCAAAAAGATAGCAACACTGACTTTTTACTTTCGAGAGATTCCCGTGTAAAACAAAGATTTTCTATACAACTACATTTCATTATGTGGTGGATTGCACATCATACAAGGATGCTAAAAGCTGAAAAAATTACTCATGAAACCACCGAATGATGAATTTAGGCGCCGTCTAGCCATCTGCAAACAAGAGCCAGGTCGAAAATTCAGATCCTTAACTTCCAAACCGTGATGATGACGAAGTAAAACCCGTCAAAAGTGGCTGCTCCGTGTGTGCTGTTTTGTAAACTTCCTGCTGGAAATCGGATCAAAGCTGCCACGCCGTTGAAAGATTGAACATCGAGTTTCATCCGAATCTCCGAACCGATACCTGTTAAGTGTTGTGAGTACTTCAGGTTCCTTTTCGGTTACGCGTGCTCCGACTTAACGAATACCAGTCATCCGATGCTTTACCAGTTTAATCTCCAGCTTTGGCATGCCACCTTATATCCACTCAGATTTGGGTTTGTTCTTCATTTCTGAGGTGAGGAACTCCCTTCACAATAATCGCATTCTCTTCGGCAGAAAATTTTCCTACAATCCTCGCTCAAACGGGCAAGCTGAGAAAAAACAGAACCCTTTAGATCATCCCTCTTGTACCCCATTAAGCAGCATTGCACTCAGTGGAAAAACCATTCTTCGGAAATACCCCTATTCCATTTGATCACCACTGGATATAACCACAAATACGACACCTAATGAGCGGTTTTCTTGTCACCACACATTTGCATCAGGAGTCTTCATACTAACCCGATTGAGTAGTCCAGGACCGGTCACGATGGGTCTCCGGATAAAAAATTTCCATAAGATGAGCCCCTAGTTGACGAAACTGAATTGATCGAGTGCGGCCCCCAATACGTCCATATGCGCTTCCGTAACGGGAGAAACGGCGATGCCCATGCACCTGATTACCACAGATAGTCTGTGAGTCACAGGCGGCTACACACCCAGAAACCAACGAATCTGCAATTCCCAAAAGTGCTTCTCAATTCTTATGCCATACAGGGAGGAATAACTCCGATAGACCGAACCCAACTATTCCTTCGACCCTCATGTAAAAGTAAGATTCACACAAAACGATTAAGTATCGATGTGTACTAGGCACCTTGGGCGTTCAACCCTGTCTAAAGGGTGTACGATCCGATGAACTGAACACGGACCCCTGATGGATTGCGGTTTTCACACATTCCGCTATCTTGACTAGGAGAGGGTTTCGGTTGTGAATTCCCTCGGAAAATTCACTTAATTTGGCCCGGGCAGCCCGTCAGTATCGCACACAAGCAAATTAGGGACCTTCCCCTTTTATAGAGATGATTGTACCGTGATCTGTTCAGCACAGTCTGAACATAAACATGTAAAATAAATAAAATACCTGGTACCAAAGTGCGTATGGTCTGATGAACGGGACACCGGCCCACAGTGAATTGCGGACTATACACACCGCCCATGTGGCTTACGGGTTAGGCTTTAGTTGACCGAAAGATACCGTTGGGGAATCCCCAAGAAAATTCACTTGCTTTGGCCAGGGCAACTTGGCCATGAGCAAATCCTGTACCTCTCTTTTTGTTAGACACACTACGAGTAATACTAGAATGACTTGACAAAAATTACCCTGAAGCACGACCGATTTCACTGCTCTAGCCGCTCTTCAAGCATGCGGATTTGGTTAACTATTACCACTTTGTTCATATATGTGCCCAGGAAGTGTATTTTTCGGACACACCTTGTTCGCAATGCCGAGGACAGCTCTTTGACACCCAAGTAACGTTTGTTGCTTTTAATATAAACTAGGCCGCTGAAAAGACATCGAAACAAACCATATATATGTACATATGTATGTATATATAGTAGAGTGAGAACTGTGGGACTAATTAGAAGCGGAAAGTAAGTAGTAAGCACTTTCTTACGGTCAAATCATCACATGCCAAACTGGGTCGTTTTCTTTGAGCTTTCTTCCCAAAAACGTGTGAGAAGCTTTCTGAGGCCAACAGAAATGATTTCGTTTTCTGGAAAACAAACGCGTGAAATGAGCGCGAAACGAACAGGAATTTACCTGTTTCTTCTCATCCAATAGAGATACAGGAAGCTTAGTCTGCCTCAGTATGATTTCGTACGGGTTTCGAACTTTCATTGCTTCTTTGAAGTTCTGTAAAGCATCTTGGCTGATGACACGAGTATTTCCTGAAGAATATTATCCGAGGAAAAGAAAAGTTACCGAACCAACGACGATTAGGTTCGATGCGCGAAACAGTGCCTGAAGGCAAAGTTGATTGGAAAGGAGCCGCACGCAAAATTTTCCCCTTCTTGTCTCTATGAAATATCAATTATTCACGGCGACAATTACCGTTTTGCCTTGAAATTCTTGTACATATTGAGACGTTTAATTGTTGCCTTAGTCCTCATCGTGCTGCCCTTTTCCTGTTTTCCACGATCTGTACTTAAGTAACCACAATAAAAAGGTGAATTCACCTGGATTCATCGAATGTTTTGCCTGATTCACTTTATCTTTGCTGCGGACCTTCATCTCTGCGGGTAATTCAAGGGTAGCGAGATTAGTTAACTAGGGCGGCGACAAAAGCGTAGCTTTCAAGGTCAGGTCAGGTCAGGCCAAATTCAAATTCAGTTCAGTTCAGTTCCAGGACGTTGACGGCGGTGTGCCAGTTAGTCCAGTTTCCT